CCAAAATTAGAATTAAAGTTATGAGGACTAAAATAACTTATTTTGAAACTTTTTATATTAAGGGTATTTTAGGTAGTTTATCTGTTTGAATAGTGAAATGGGTTAGTTTGGGGTTAGTTTGGAATTTTGGCTTTGAATTTGGGTCATTTGCTTGTATTTCTCATTCCTATTTATAGCAACAAAAGTTCATCGAAACAAAACATGTTAGCACGCAGCACAATTTAGTGTCGAGTATACATCACCGCTAACTTAGAATCGTACACCTGTTTTATAGGGATAAATGTTCAAAATATGTTAGCACGTAACACAATTTAGTGTAGAGTACATGCCACCTGTAGCCCAAAACAGTTTTGCTACACTTATACTATGGTTGACAGTTTTGTTTACATTCTTTTACATGACACACAGTTTTACAATTAATTTTGACAACATTTTTTTTCAAATTAATGACTTCAATTTTGACACCTCTAAGGATCTCATGGTGCACAACTAGCTTAACTCCTAATTTAGGGTTCATAATTTTGTATCTAATTGAAATGGAAAATTAATCAAAATTCTGGATATATATGACGGACCATGAATACTAAATAAAATAATTTTTCTTTTTTCTTTGAGCCAAAAACAGCACCGAGGGTTTTGTGTATACTCCTAGGTGCCACTATCATCTTTATATATGGATGAAAGTGTTCCAAAACAAGTCCAAAGTCTAATTAGGCTAGAATTGTACATTATAATTAAATTCAAAATTGTCATAGCAATTGTAATAAAGTTGGATATATATTTTCCAAACTTCAATATTATCTAGTCGAACCCTAGACCACATAATCTAATTATTAGCATTTGCCTTTTTCACTTAACGCAAAAGACCGCACTTTCGAATTACCTACAATCACGTAAACTAAAATATATATGCAATATTTTTTTTTAATTATTTTTATCTATTGTATATATTCCATCCAATTTTGAGATCGGATAATTGAGTACGATCATAGATAGTCACTTTGTTTATCCGATTATTCTCAGTAACTTAAGTTATATTTTCTTCAAAGTTCTTGTGACAGGATTTACATTCGTTGAAGTTCAGCTGTTTCAAAACAAGGATCTTGTTACATGTACATCAAAATTTACATAATAGAGCACATAATGTTATATGACAGTCTACCATTTGTCAATTTAAAGTACAATTAACTTTTTAATCCAATATTTTTCCTATACATCATATTATTTAATCCATTATATACATTTTTTTTATGTACAAGTAGCAAAATACTTCAAAAAAAATGATCTCGGATTTATAACCGTTCAACAAAAAAGTACCCTATTTAGCAATCGCTTGACCCATTCTCCACTTCTCTTGTTTTTCACATTCCAATTTACTTGGTTATTTGATTAACCAAATTGATCGCACCCATCGGTAAATTAAAAATCCATTAAACTCATGAAAATATATACGCAATCCTAAGGGAATTAGATGAAATACATAGTGGTCAAATGAAATTTAATTCCAATACACTTCAAATATACTAGTGTTACCATTAAACCATTTCTATGACGAGGGCAAATCACATACCCAAATGGTAAAATAGTCAACACTACAACTTTCCGGTACAAGGTATTAGCCCTCATTCTTAATTGTGAATTATTTTATTTATGATCAAAATATAAGTTTGTCACACCGTGCAACTCAATGAAAATACCTAACTTATATTATTAACAAGTGAAGTGACCATTGACGCTTTTACTGTTTTACTCAATATTAAATAAATGCAA